GGGCGCGGGGCGCGGGCCCACCTCTCGCAGACGCGCACGGTCCAGGCGGCGATGACCCAGGAGGAGATGCTGAACACCAGCAGCACGGTGCCCGGGCAGATGGTCATGAGCGTCTTCATGACGAAGCGCGTGTTGAAGGTGATCTTGTTGAGGGCCCCGATGCTGCGGCTCGACGCGTCGGTGAAGATGCGGCTGTGCAGGAGCATGACGCGGCCGAGCAGGTAGAGGCGCAGGAACATGGGGATGGACAGCAGCACGTCCACGTCGGCCTCGGCCACCGACGGCGCGTACGTGAAGGCCAGCCGCGCCGTCCACGTGAAGCGGTAGTGGCCGGGCACCGGGTGGATGGCGCACACCGCCAGCTCCAGCGAGATGAGGAGCACGCGCTCGCACGTCATGGCGATGCGCCAGTCGTCGGCCCCGTTGTCCACCATGAAGAGCTGCGGGCGGGACGGGCGTGGGTCTCGACGCGCGGGAGCCCCGCGGGGTTGGCCGGCCACCCAGGCGGAGCGCGGAGGCACGGTCACAGCTCTCCGCAGCCCGGACCGCCTGGGCTCCAGCGACCTCCCGCCTCAGCTCCCGAGCAGCTGAGCCGCAGGCGCCCAGCTCGTTTCTTGCAGTTGGGTCTCGCTCTGCGGCCAGCCTGGAGGGCAGGGGCACGCTCACGGCCACCGCGGCCTCGCCCGCTGGGCTCAGGGGCCCCTCCCCTCAGCCTTCCACGTCGCTGAACTACAGACAGCCACCACACCCGGCTAGTGTTTTTCTTTTTGAGATCAGAAAACATAATTTATTTAGGAAGTGAATGAGAGAGAGAAAGAGAGAGAGAACTCGGCTTCTTAAGGTCAGGAGACATGGCAGCGGCCATAGTGCCAAGAGCACATGGCCACACCAGAGCTTAGAATGGCAACTGCCCTACTTTTTTGATCTATTGTAGAGACAAGGTCTCGCCAAGTCGCCCAGGCTGGGCTTGAGCTCCCGGTCTCAGGCAATCCTCTCGCCTTGGCCTCCCACAGTGCTGGGATTATAGGCTTGAGCCACTGCACCCGGCCACTTATTTAATTAATTAATCTATTTACTTATTTATTGAGTTGGAGTCTCACTCTGTCGCCCAGGCTGGAGTGCAGTGGCCGCTCCCAGCCACTGCAGCCTCGCTCGACCCGCTGGGCTCCGGCGATCCTTCCACCTCAGCCTTCCGAGTAGCTGGAACTACAGGGGCGCACTACCATGCCTGGCTAATTTTTGACTTATTGTAGAGATGAGGTCACACCAAGTTGCCCAGGCGGGTCTCGAACCCGCAGGCTCAGGCAATCCACTCACCTCAGCCTCCCAAAGGCGCGGGATTACAGGCTGAGCTACCGAGCCCGGCTCATTTATTTATTTTAGAGAAAAGGTCCCACTGTATTGCCCAGGCTAACCTTGAACTCCTGGCCTCAAGTGATCCTCCCACCTCAGCCTCTCAAGTGCTAGGATCACAGACTGGGCCATTACACCCGACCTCTTTTTTCTTTTTCAGAGACACAGTCTTCCTCTGTCACCCAGGCTAGAGTGCAGTGATGTGATCACCGCTCACTGCAGCCTCCAACTCCCAGGCTCAAATGATCCTGCAGCCTCGGCCTCCAGAGTAGCTGGGACTACGGGTATACACCACCATGCCCAGCTTTAGATTTTTCCAAGAGAAGTCAGAAACGTGACCTTGTATGAAAAACTCCCTAGTTTTCGTATTGGCCATAATTCCAGCTGAACATCAGACTGGTGTCCCCAAAAAGTTAAACACAGAGCGTTACCAAGGGCCCAGCAACCATATTCCAAGGTGGACTCAAGAGAAATGAAGGTAGGTGCTAGACAAACCCTTGTGCACAGAGTCACGGCAGCAATAGTAGCAGCCGCCTAAAGCAGAAGCCACCCACACATCCATCAGGGAGTGAGGTTAAGACGCCGGACAGCGGGTGCTCAGTGTCACTGAGAAGTTCTCAGAAACTGCGACCTGAATGGAAACGACATGCAGAAAAACTGGTCTTGCCACAGCTAACAGATATCAACAAGTGGAGGCTCCTATGGGATATTTCTGGTCACAAAGACATCACCAGACTTCTAAATAAAGACCGATCACAGCACTTCGGATGCGAAACACTGAAATAAATGTGAGCTGTATGCACATGTAAGAAGGGTCCACAGAAACAAGTTATTCCAGATCAGGGTCAGGGCTGGAGCCCATCCTGGGAGCTCAGGGGTGGGCACTGGGCCCAGACAGGATGTAAACCACCAAAACTGCCCGCTGGCCCAGACAGGCCCTGCAGACAGGCCTCTTCACCTAACCTGCACATCTGGAGGATGAGGGAGGAAACCAGGGGCGGAGGAACCCAGAGAGATGGGAGAACTGCAGACCCAGACGGCGACCCTGGCCAGGATCGGGCTTTTCTTCTCATCACCAAAAGGACACTGAGTGAAAACACATCATTTGGGTGCCTGCCGTACAAGGGGGATTCAGAAACCTGGAATTGCTTTATAAAAACTGTGCATTTATTCTTGCATGTTTAAACTTCAGTCACCTTCAAAGGACTCTGCATTTGATGCATTGAGACGCTTTTTCCAGTGCCCAGAAGAGTTGGCTATTTTTTTTATGAGTCAGTCTCCCTCTGTCGCCCAGGCTGGAGTGCAGTGGCACGCTCATGGCCACCGCCGCCTCGACATTCCGCCTCAGCTTTCCAAGTAGGTGCAACCACAGGCGCACACCACTATGCCTGGCTAATTTTTTTCATTTATTGTAGAGACAGGGTCTCGCCAAGTTGTCCAGGCTGGTCTCAAACACATAGGCTCAGGCAATCCTTTTGCCTCAGCCTCCCAAAGTGCTGGGATTACAGAGTCTCACTCTGTCACGCAGGCTGGAGAATAGTGACACGCTCACAGCCACTGCAGCCTCGACCTGCTGAGGCAATCCTTCTGCCTCAAGCTTCCAAGTAGCTGGAACTACAGGTGCATACCACCATGCCCAGCTAATTTTTTTTTAATTGTAGAAACAAGGTCTCACCAAGTTGCCCAGGCTGGTCTCGAACTCATGGACTCAGGCAATCCTCTTGCCTCCACCTCCCAAAGTGCTGGAATTACAGGTGTGAGCCACCACACCTGGCTAATTTATTTATGTTATAGAGACAAGGTCTTGCCAAGTTGCCCAGGCTGGTCTCAAACTCATGGACTCAGGCAGTCCTCTTGCCTCTGCCTCTCAAAGTGCTGGGATCACAGGTGTGAACCACCACACCCAGCATCAAAGCAGTTTTTGAACTCATCGATTTTGGTGGCTTTTGGTGCTTCTGCCATTTTTTGTTCCACCTCTTTCACATCAACAAAATGCTTCCCTTTGAGGCCGTTTTTCTTCCGAGGACACAAAACAACGTCACTCAGGGCCAGATCGGGTGAATAGGGAGGGTGGGGCGCAGGGGTCTTGCCATGTGGGGTCAAAAACTGCAGAACATGCAGCGCCGTGTGGACAGCCGCACTCGTAAGTCGCCCGTTCTGAGATGGGCAAACACGTTGAGAGGATCTCCAAAAAAATCCACGGATGCCGATGGGTTCCTAGAACATTCACCTAGCAGGGAAGCCTGACCTACAGGGGCCGAGGCAAGAGGGCTGTTTGAGGCCAGGAGTTTGGGTCTAGCCTGGACAACACAGTAAGACGCCATCTCTACACAAAGAAAAGAGCAAACAGAATCTGCCTTGCTGGTTCTGGACTTGCCCGAGTCTGTCACCCCTTCGTCCATCTGCTTCCTTCCTTTTAGAAAGGGAATGTCTGTCCCATGCCTGTCCCTATCCTGTATTTTGGAAGCACACAGCTCGTCCAGTTTTATGGGGTCACAGCTAGAGAGGAACTTGGTCTCAGGATGAATCATCTCTCAAGCACTCCTGTGGCTGAGCCAGAGGAAAGTCGGGTGAGACTTGGGGCTTCAGAGTTGACGCTGGAATTGGTTAAGGCACGGGGTTCCAATCCAGTGTGACGGGTGTCCTTATAGAAAGGGGCTATCTGGACACAGGCCCCCAGCCGGGAGAAGGCCACGCAACGCTCAGGCATTCCTTAGTCCTTCGGGGCACTCCATGGCGAGGGTGGGCCAGGAGTTTGGGTCCAGCCTGGATAACACAGTAAGACTGGGCTGATCTGTTCGCCCACTGACAGGCATCTGCATAGCTCCTACTTCCTGGCTGCCGCGGATAGTGTGGTTATAAACACACGTGTGCAAGTCGGGAGAGCAAGTGTATTTTGCACGTGAAGGCGTGAATTTTGGGGGAGCAGAGGGTGAACTGCTATGGGTTAAACTGCGTCCCCTTAAAATTCATCTGTGGGCTGGGTGTGGTGCCACACCTGTCATCCTAGCACTTTGGGAGGCCGAGATGGGAAGATCCCTTGAGCACAGGAGTTTAAGCCCAGCCTGGGCAACACAGCAAAGCCTTGTTTCTACAAAAAACAAAACAAGCCGGGCTCGGGCTCAGTGGCTCAGCCTGTAATCCCGTGCCTTTGGGAGGCTGAGGTGAGTGGATTGCCTGAGCCCGCGGGTTCAAGACCCGCCCGGGCAGGGAGACCTCATCTCTACAATAAATCAAAAAGTTAGCCGGGCGTGGTAGCGCATGTCTGTAATTCCGGCTACTCAGAAGGCTGAGATGGAAGGATCGCCGGAGCCCAGCAGGTCGAGGCTGCGGTGGCCAGGAGCGACGATCCAGTCTGGGCGACAGAGTGAGACTCCAACTCAAAAAAAAAAAAAACAACAACAACAAAATCCAGAGACAGGAAGCAGATTCGCGGCTGCCAGGGGGAGGGGGAGGGGATGAGGAGAGGCTGCTGATGGGACGGGGCCTCCTTGTGGGAGACGAGAATGTTCTGGAACCAGATGGAGGTGATGGTTGACAACACAGTAAATGTGCTAAATATCATGGAACTGCACATTTTAAAATGGCCAGGTTAGGCTGGGCATGGTGGCTCATGCCTAACTCCCAACACTTTAGGAGGCCAAGGTGAGAGGTCTGCCTGAGCCCATGGGTTCAAGACCAGCCTGAGCAACTTGGCGAGACCTCGTCTCTACAAGAAATCAAAACATTGCCTGGACGTGGTGGTGTGTGGCTGTAGTTCCAGCTACTCGGAAGGCTGAGGCGGAAGGATCACCCGAGCCCAGCAGGTCAAGGCTGCAGCGGCGTGAGCAGACTGCCACTGCACTCCAGCCTGGGTGACAGAGTAGTCTCACTCCAACTCAAAAATAAATAAATAAATAAAATGACCAAGTTGTTTTGTTGTTGTTTTGAGTTGGAGTCTCGCTCTGTTGCCCAGGCTGGATTGCAGGGGCACGGCACGGTCACAGTTACAATTTCCTGGGCTGAAGGGATCCTTCCCCCGTCAGCCTCTCATGTAGCTAGGACGACAGGCACCACTACACCAGCTAATTTTTTTTTTTTGAGTCGGAGTCTCACTCTGTCGCCCAGACCGGAGTGCAGTGGCCACTCCCGGCCACCGCAGCCTCGACCTGCTGGGCTCCGGTGCTCCTTCCGCCTCCGCCTTCCGAGTAGCCGGAATTACAGGCGCGTACTACCACGCCCGGCTGATTTTTTGATTTATTGTGGAGATGAGGTCTCGCTGCCCAGGCGGGTCTCGAACCCACGGGCTCAGGCCATCCACTCACCTCAGCCTCCCAAAGGCGCGGGATGACAGGCTGAGCCACCGAGCCCAGCCAGTTTTTTGTATTTTGTGTAGAGACAAGTTCTCGCTGTGTTGCCCAGGCTGGTCTCAAACTCCTGGGCTCAAGTGATCCTCCTGCCTTGGCCTCCCAAAGTGCTGGGATTACAGGCACGAGCCACCACGCTCAGCCTAGCACAGCTAATTTTATGTTATGTGAATTTTACCTCCATTCAAAAAACAAATCTGGGTGCAGTAAACTGGAGCCGGGTGTGGCCTCCGGAATACACACCCCGGAAGACGCCAGGGACACCGACATCACCTTCCCCAAAGGGACCGCCGCTCCCAGCATCAGGCAGGCCCCAGGGTGTGTGGGCGGCTTCCGCAGGCCTTTCTGTTCCGCCTGAACGTTGAACGTGTGTGTAACTCACGAGTATCAATTTTTTCTTGCTCACGTGTCATTTTAAAACAAGAAGCAATAAAGTCGTTCTAAAATAAGAAACCGAAGAAAAACAAGAAATCCACTTCCTTAAAATGTCACAGCAGCCACGTGCTCTAGGGGCAGCCTCCACCTCTGTGGGGTGTGGGCACGGGAACCCTGCCCGCCTCAGGCGCCCTCAGCTTCGATAGGGGCCTTGCCAGGACCAAGACAGAGCCAGGACCAGGCATCCTGGAGCCAGAGGCGACAGGTACCACCAGGAACACGGCCACTGTCTTGACTTCAGTGCTGGTCCTGGCTCAATGTGGAATGTTCTAGCGTTTATTTAGACTGTTTGCGTAAATGCCACATTAAAGTAATATTCATCTCGGCAACTGAGTTGTTTGCTACCTCTTAGGGTTTGCACCTGTAGTTAGCGCCTGGGTCCTTCCACGCCACACCCCGGCAGGGAGGGTCGTGTCCTTCACAAGGCTAGGCGTGGGGGCTCGCACCTGTCATTCCAGCACTTTGGGAGGCCGAGGCAGGAGGACTGCTTGAGCCCAGGAGTTCGAGACCAGTTTAGACAACATAGCAAGAGCTCATTAGTATAAAAAGTAAAAAAAATTAGCCAGGCATGGTGACACACACCTGTAGTCCCAGCTACCTGGGAGGCTGAGGTGAGCCAGGAGATCGAGGCTACAGTGAGCTGTGATCCACCACTGCACTCCAGTCTGGCCAAGAGCAAGACCCTAGTTCTAAAATAAATACAAGCCGGGCTCGGTGGCTCAGCCTGTAATCCCGCGCCTTGGGAGGCCAAGGTGAGTGCTGGGATTCAAGACCCGCCTGGGCAACTTGGCGAGACCTCATCTCTACAATAAATCAAAAATCAGCTGGGCGTGGTAGCACGCGCCTGTAGTTCCCGGCTACTCGGAAGGCTGAGGCGGAAGGATCGCCGGAGCCTGGCAGGTCGAGGCTGCGGTGGCTGGGAGCGGCCACTGCACTCCAGTCTGGGCGACAGAGTGAGACTCCAACTCAAAAAAAAAAAAAGAAAATTTTTTTTGAGGTTCACCCACGCTGTGGCTTGCATCAGAACTTGTTATGGGTTGAACTGTGCTTCCCCTCTAAAAAAGATATGTTGGCATCCCCACCCCCTGTGCCCTGGAATGTGCCCTGATCTGGAAACAGGGTCTTTATGGAGGTCATTAAGCTAGACATAGGCATGAGGAAGGGCCCCATCCAACAGGACCGGTGTCCTTATAGAAAGGGGACACTTGCAGCAGATGCGGTGGCTCATGCCTGTCATCAAGCACTTTGGGAAGCTGAGGCAAGAGGATTGCCTGGGCCCAGAGGTTTGAGATCAGCCTGGGCAACTTGGCGAGACCTCGTCTCTACAATAAACGTTAAAAAATTAGCTGAGGTTGGTGGTGCACACCTTTGGTTTTAGCTACTTGCAAAGCTGAGATAGAAGGATCATCTGAGCCCAACAGATCCAGGTGGCCGGGAGCAGCCACTGTACTCCAGCCTGGACGACAGAGTGAGACTCCAACTCAAAAAAAAGAGAGAGAGGAAAAAAAGAGAAAGGGGGCATTTGGGCACAGACACCCACCTAGGGTGAAGACCCTGTGACCCTCAGGTAGAGTCGAGAGTGACATGTCCACAAGCCAAGGAACACTGAGAATTGCTCGCAGCCACCAAAAGCCGGGACGAAGGCCTGGGACGGACCCTCCCCCTACGCCAGGGACCGGGGGGCACCAGCCCTGCAGACACCACGACCTCAGGATGCCAGAGTGGCAAGCCTTAGTCCCGAGGGCCACTTCGGCATGAGGGAGGACCACGCCGTGTCGATCTGTTCATCCACTGTGCAGATGGACCACAAGCTTTATCTGCTCATCCAGTGATGGATACGCAGACAGTTTCCACTTTTTGGCTTCTGGGAGTCATGTTGTTAGAAACACACATGTAGGTTGGGCACAGTGGCTCATGCCTGTCATCCCAGCACTTTGGGAGGCCAAGGCGAGAGACTGCCTGAGCCCGCGGGTTTGAGACCAACCTGGGCAACTTGGAGAGATCTCATCTCCACAATTAATCGAAAAATTAACCAGGCATGGTGGCACGTGCCTGTAGTTCCAGCTACTTGGAAGGCTGTTGTGGGAGGATCACCTGAGCCCAGCAGGTCAAGGATACAGTGGCTGTGAGGGTGCCCCTGCCCTCCACCTGGGCAACAGCGTGAGACTTCGACTCAAAAAGTGAAATAAAATAAACACACATGTGCACATTTTTTAACGGACTTAGGTCTTAATTCCCCTTGGGTAATGCCTAGGAGCAGAATTGCTAAATCACCAGGAAACTCCCTGATTCACCTTGAAGAACTGCCACACTCCTGTCCCCAACTGCGTCCCCAAAGGCATCGCACAATGTAACTCGGGTGGGACTCTCCCACACCATCCCCCACCAGACTGCAGCACCTGCGGGTCATGGGCCGGGGCTGGAGGGCAGGAGCGGGATCGGACACCCTTGGCCTCCCTGGGCCTGGCCACCAGCCCTGCGTGGTAACTGCCCCAGGTGGCCTGAGCTGCCAGCCCAAGCTGATTTTTATTCTTTTCTGAAAGAGGAGAGCAAACTCCGTGGCACACAGAAAATCTTTAAAAAATCAGGGTTCAAGCCGGGCTCGGTGGCTCAGCCTGTCATCCCGCGCCTTGGGAGGCTGAGGTGAGTGGACTGCCTGAGCCCGCAGGTTCGAGAGCCACCTGGGCAACTTGGCAAGCCCTCATCTCTACAATAAATCAAAAAAATCAGCCGGGCGTGGTAGCGCATGCCTGTAATTCCGGCTACTTGGAAGGCTGAGGCGGAAGGATCGCCGGAGCCCAGCAGGTCGAGGCTGCGGGGGCCGGGAGCGGCCACTGCACTCCAGTCTGGGTGACAGAGTGAGACTCCAACTCAAAAAACAAAAAAACCAGGGTTCAAAGCCGGGCAGGGTGGTGCCTGTGGTCCCAGCTACTCAGGAGGCTGAGGTGGGAGGACTGCACTGCTGCACTCTAGCCTGGCCCACAGAGTAAGACCCTGTTGCTCAGAGACAAAAGCAGAGTCCAGTCCATGGGAGAAGGAAATCAATGCTCCGAATGCCCGTTTCTAGGGTTTCCAAGTCTCAGGAGACTGCAGGGCCGTGAGCACGGCCGGGAACCCCGGGCGCGGCCTCCCACAGCTGCTCTCTCTCAACTCGTCACAGAAGCCCAGCAGCCACGCGACACCGTGCCCTCCTTTCCCCGAGCGAGCCTGCGCGTCCTCCCAGGGCCCGGGGACATGGGGCCAGGGGGGGAGGGCAGCCCTCAGGGGGCACTGACCTGGATCTCGCGGGCGTGGTAGAGGACCACGAGGCCCAGCAGGATGAGCGTGGACAGGCTGATGAGGCATTTCAGGGCGAACGAGTACAGCGATGCCTGCGACAGGGAGGAGACGGGTTGGTAGGCGCCGGGGTGGCCCCTGCTCCCGCCCAGGGTTGGCCAGGGGGCTGCACCCAGCTGTCCCCCCAACATTGCCTGGGTCCTCGCTCCTTGGGCCCGGACTGACAGCAAGGCAAGTCCAGCGCTTCACAGGTTATCAGACCTGGAGCCCAGAAGCATAGCGCCTCACAGTTGGTGAGGCCTGGCCTCCCTCGGGCCCAGCACTCGCGGCGGATAAGGCCTGGCCTCAACTGGCCTTGACACCTGACAGTTGGTGAGGCCTGGCCTCCCTCGGGCCCAGCACTCGCGGCGGATAAGGCCTGGCCTCAGATGAGCACAGTACTCAATAGTTTATAAGGCCCGGCCCCTCCTGGGCACAGCCCTTGATACTTCACAGTTGATAAAGCCTGGTCTCACCAGGGCACAGAATTACACAGCCTGTAAGGCTCGGTTCCCAGAGGCATAGCACTACACGGACTGGGCTCTTCAGCTTATAAGGCCCGGTGCCTCGCCTGGCCTGGGCACTGCACCCAGTACCGGCCTGGCCTCACCAGGCCGCAGCTCTTCACGGTGCAGGTCTGGTTTCAAACGGGCGCCCCTCACAGTCTACAGGGCCTGGCCTCACACCGGCCGGCGCGGCCCACGGGCCT